AAATGTAATTTAGGTTAACTTCCTGTTTTATTTAGATGCTTTTATTATTTTGAAGGCGAGTTGACAGGAAGTTGTTGTTGCTATGGAAACAACATTACGGAGAAAACTTAATATCTTCTACATATAAAGACGGAGAAAGTAAAGAACAAAGTCTGAAAATATCAGTACAGTATCATAGTACTTTAACATAATTGTTTTTGTTTCTTTCGTTGCAGTTGTATGTCTTAAATGTAATGTAAATGTTGCCTTCGTGTGTGGTTCGGGGCCATCTTCGTGCGAAATTCACAATTCAATATTCGTGTGTCCATCGGGTGTACATTTCGCGACAGTGTGACAGGGGCTTTAAGGACATCTGCTCCCATTTGTAAGCTGGCCAGTCACCTATTATCCTTTCATAACTCCGGTTTAATGATCAACAGCATCTCAAACACTACTTTGTTCACATAAGGAGGCACTTTTTCAGGCTTCACTCTGTTAGTGTTGCTGACCCTAAATGAGATTCCTCCATCGCTGTGCAGGACCTGCAGCAGACGCGCTCCATACTCAACTCCATCTTCTCTGGAGCTTTAGCGGGCGCTGTGGCCAAGACAGCTGTCGCCCCATTGGACAGAACCAAAATCATCTTCCAAGGCAAGTGTGGATCTATTTTTAGATAAGAAACAACCCACATTGATCTATCAAATTGATTTAACTGATTTTGTGTTTTAACTGGGTTGCTCTTGCATTCAGATTAATGTCAAGTTTATTTATATAGCACATTTAAAACAGCCTCAGTTGACCAAAGTGCTTTTCAGTTTTAAAATAAGACAAGCAGCAATCAATAAAAGAATAAAGACATACTTGTAGTCAGGTAAACATAGATCAAATGAATAGAAATACAAATAATGTGAATATTTATATTGCACATATGTTTTGTTTTTTAGTGTCTTCAGATAGATTCTCTGGTAAGGTAAGTTTGATCACAATTCTATAGTAACAATTGTCTGATTCTCATTCATAACAAGAGATCCATTCACAAAACTAAAGTTGAATTCACGGTTAATAGTTCTCATTTTGACCTTTTTTAAAGAATACATCACAGGAAGAAGTTTTACAGACACAAATCTGAACAACAATAGCTTATCATCAATCAATGTGTGTGTTAATATGTGTGCATTACATTCCAGGAGGCCTACAGGTTGATCTACCGCACCTACCTGAAGAATGGCTTCTTCAGCCTGTGGAGGGGGAACTCTGCCACCATGGTGCGAGTCATCCCGTACGCTGCCATCCAGTTCTGTGCGCACGAGCAGTACACGAGGATGCTGGGAGGCTACTACGGCTTTCAGGGGAAGTGAGTGTCAGGGTATATTGATAGATGTCTTGACTGTTGAGTTTGTTTTTAACCCTTGTGTTGTGTTCGAAAGCTCTTACCGTTCATGGTGTTGGCGGGTCAATTTTGACCCATGATTTGTTTCAGTCCAAAACACACAAAATGACTATCATCCAATATTGTTTTGACTACATCATAGCTAACTTATTATGCATTCATAACCGTACAATCCTGTTGTCATTTTATTGTATGGCCCCAAAACACATTACACCACATATTGCACACGTTGCATGTTCAGGTTCAAGTGTTAGTGTACATATTCTTTGAGAAAGGTGGAGTTCCCGTGGGGGGAGGGGAGACCAGGTGCATGTTGCGAACAATTATTGTTACAGTGGATGAAGGGGGTGGGGTGTCTCAAGTCAAAGAATAATTCTTGATTGGGCCAAATTTGACCCCGAGTCACCCACAACAATGCTGCTGGGTCTTCCCAGACCCCAACACCAAATTATACACTTTTCTTTTTAGAGACCTTCAGACTTGGCTAAAATGGTCAAAATCAGTTTTGTAGTGTTTATATAGCTGTTGTGGAGGATATCATGAAGCCTTGTTCCGATACAAAAAACTAGAGCGTAGTTATTATATCATTTTAAGTTGAAACGGGTCACGGGAGACCCGAACACAACATAAGGGTTAAATGTAATAAGCACTCTAAAGGTTTTCTTTATGTCTGGTTGGAGTAACATGAACTCTGAAAGGTTTATATATGTTTCGTCCCTGCTCCAGAGTCCTGCCTCCAATCCCGAGGTTCCTGGCCGGGGCTGTGGCTGGTTTCACGGCAGTTATGCTGACCTATCCTCTGGACATGGTGCGAGCTAGGATGGCTGTAACGCCGAAAGAAATGTAAGTATCTTTCAACTTTTTTTAAAACTACAGCAAAACAACCAGGGACTGCTTTGCACCGTGTTGCTATGCTACACTGTTCAGGTTCAGGATTAAATATGAAACCTTTGAAAGAGATGTAGAGCAATCGACTCCTCTTAGCAATTCATTCAGTTATACAATTATGATATCAACACCCGAAGGCCGTAAACACTTTGATATTACACTGAACAAAAATATAAATGCAACACTTTTCTCAAGTCCTTTCGACCCTCAAATCGGGACAAAACGCCACCTCACCTTGCACACACAGGACAACTACATTCTCAACAAAAATCTATCATGACCCGACCCCTCTCACGTTCGAAACAGAAAACAACGACTGCAATCCAGCCGAATTATGATTTCTTGTTGACTTACTCAACCAAACCGGTGACAGTTGTCTGTCCTCCCTTTCTAGGAGTTCTGGCAAAAATCCAGTCAAAACCTTGGCCGTCTAAATGTCAAAATCAAATTTTGATCTTTACTTGGTACGTCCGGAATAACGTATCAGGTAAAAATATTTATCAAGATATATGCCGGTATGCTTTATATCGTAGGTTGATAAACGTACATCTATCACGAAGGGAGCTGGTGTTAGAGAGAAGTAAACCACGGGGTCCTACCACCGGCATGCACACTGGACACTGGGCGTTCAGGGAACCGGTACGCGGCGGCGTGGTGTAGAAGGTCTCCATTCTCCGGCTGACCGACTATTTCAGGGACGGCGTCCAGGTTTGCGGGGAGGCAGGTAGTGCTCATCCCTAGCCACCCGCGGGCCACACGAGGATGTACCTTCCTCCTTCACTTGTCCCAGTAAAAGTATAAAGTACCGCTGTAATTGTCTACCCTCACAGATTATCTCGTCAAGCTCTATTCCCATGCGTAATGTCGTCTGAACCGTCACAGGTAATGGGAACCTCACACTCAAGAAGTGCGCTCCCCCACCCAAAACCGTACTCCATTGTCCTTGACTAGGGTCCATCCCCCTCTATTGAGGTTCGTACCACCTCGTTTTCGGAGCCATGTTGCAGAGCCGGAGCTAGAGCCCTATAGGCGTGTTTGTGCACTTCTACGATGCCATGGATTGTTGTTCGCGTTCCGTTGTCATGTAGTTGTCCCATATACTCTTACTTGTACACCTTAAAACGCTCATTGGTGTGCCGAGGACGGAAATCGCTCTCAAGGCACAAATATTGGGGAGCAAAGTAATGTCCTTGGCGTATGGATGCAGGGGTGGTTGCCTCTTGTGTGGCGTCAGGACTAGTATTGGTTGAGCGGGGAAGTCGTACGGGGACGACTGCCCCCACCTCGACCATAAAGGTAAAGTTTTGACAAACTTCGTCCTGAAAATAAAAACCAACGAGCACCCCCTTTAAAGTTGAAAGACATCGTTACCCTCCAGTCCTGAGGTCTCTCTGTGCCCTCTCGACCTGGAAACTACCGTTTGTGACCACCAAAATAAACACTCGAATCCGGACCTCTTACTGTTCTGTCCACCACACCGTGCTCAACGGTTTGTTTAAAGACTTCTTGAAGACGTCGAGTTACAAACATTGATCAAGCCTCACGTATATTAGGTTTGTAAGAAGTAGTCACTCCTGATTTTTGTAACTACCTGGGACTTTAGATTGATCTCGACTGCAGGTATGTCTATTTATAAACGTGGTCCCTTGGAAACAGACTTATCATTTGATGGAAGTACCGCCCGACACGAGACAGTATCTGACCGTTGTTTGTTACGCGGGTTCGACGAGGAGGATTGCTGCGCTATCGTCGTATGGTCCCGGCATCTGGATAACGGTACCTTTTCTCTTGTCACTCTCCTCTTTTAATTTATTGACCAGCTTCCAACTTATGGATTCGTTTAATAAGGGATTGTCAACGAGTGGTTTTTAATATAACAAAGGTCTGACCCTTTTATATAGTCAAACGTCACTAGCGTTAGTCGTCTCGAAAATTTGACTTCCGAGTGTTTACATGTAACATTGATTTTATTTTCTTACGGACTGTGAAAACAAATACGAAGTCAACCAACTACATCTACTTGAGTTTCTAGACAAGTTTGTAAAACGTATATAATTAACTGTGAAATAATTTATTGGTAAAGGAGGTCAGTTTATAACAATGTTTAGTCCTTCTTCGCACTATCCACTCATGTCGACGTGACCAGGAAACTTTAGTGTTGGCTCTATTTAGATAGTGTAAGATGATCCACACCGTATAGGTCTACGTAACTCTATCTGTGGTAACCTAATAATTCGTGTATGTCAACACATCGTTCAAGAACGGAGTGAAAATTCATGTTTTTCCGTGAGCACTTCTCATCACGTTCAAACGAATATTATACCTCACCCAACTACTCCACTCAGTTCGCTATGGGATTCCAAAAATTTCAGGGATTTGGGTAGTAGTTCTTATAGTGTACTGGGTAAGTCGTACAAACCCTACAACACTAGCCGCATATGCTAGTATCGCATCCTAGGTCAAGACAAGTTTTGGTCGTTGACAAGACGTCGGTCAGAACGCTCCACTTAGACTGACCTCAGCTTTGGACATACAACTCGCTCTAAACCAACTAGACTGGTATAACCAGAGTAGCGATATCTCATGTTGTGTAGAGGAAGCGTATCTCAACTTAGTCCAACATATAACACCTGACACCTTACAACCAGGTGAGGAGACGTTAACCGACACGCTTCAACAGACCTATAACCGTCCTTTGACCTTGTGCGGCAAGCATATGCGCTAGGTTCTCGTAGGGTTTGTACGCGACTTACCCCACTGTACAATCCAATCCCCAAATTGGGAATCCAATAAACCTGGGGGGGGTCTGGGGGGGCTTAATTCGTTTTGAATTGCAAAGTCTCACCGGAAAATACACGGACGAGATTGCCGTGTGGCCACGTTATTAGTACGACAGATAGTCGTAGACTATACGGATGGTGGACACTCCACCCGTACCAATAGAAGCCGTTTCCTCTTCACGAATGAATAGTGTCTAAAAAGGTCTAAACACTTGTTATAAACTCTCCTTTACCAATAAAACCACATATATCTAAAAAAATCTAGAATACTCAAGTAGAGTATGTTTGTTTACCNGAGTTAATGTTGAGATTGGACTAAGCAAGAGGAAACAGCTAATCTCAGTCAAAATAAAGGATGAAGGCGCTAATTGCTCCAACAATCACCTGGGTTCTGTTCTAAGTTTTAACTGCATGGTAACCCAGCAACTTGACTATGAGAACAAGATTAATGAGACAGTGCAGGCTTTCATTGTGCCAAGTCGTTGTTAGCCAGAATGTCTAAGATATCTGCTAGTTAAAAAACAAAACATATAATCGTTTTTTTTTCTTGAAGATCCATTTAATATACACACGTACACGCACGCACGCACGCACGCACGCACGCACGCACACACACACACACACACACACACCACACACACACACACACACACACACACACACACACACACACACACACACACACACACACACACACACACACACACACACACACACACCTATATCAGGTTAGATGACGGAGAAGGAATGAGGAGTAAGAGACTGTGAAGCAGGACAAATCAATGACACCCTCTCTTCCCTCCATCCCTGCTCCTCACGTCTTCCCTCCCATTGCTTTAGCCTCTCTATCTCCCCTTCCGTTCACCTACCCTCCTTTTCCACATCCTCCACAATCTTCCACCAGGCCTGAAGGTGGGGAAGACACACTGCATAAAGATACATGCAAATCTACCTAATACAACGGAACATTTGAGGGAAAAGGGATCTTTCCCCTGTGAGATATTCTTCTCTCCGTCACTATCTTTCCGCCGTTCGCTCTTTGCTTTTTTCACACAGATTAGCCTCCTTTTTCCTCTGATTTATTCATAGTTACTTGACTTTCTCTCTAACTTATTAACTGTCTTACTTTCCTGACACATAATGCACACCTCTTATTTCATTGTTTTGCTATACATGAGTCATCACTCTTTTACCCTCTCTTTCCTTATCACCCCTTCAACTCAGCCCGCAAGAGTTGTTTTACATAATTGTAATAATGACTTCCAGTGGTGTTGCCCCTCATCTAACCTCCCTAAAATAGCACTGGTTAGTTTGCCCTTTAGAGCTGCATCCTCACCACTTTGTACCGTGGTTAGAGTGGTTAGAGGATGCCTGCAAGGCCTCTAGACAAAACCAAAATGTGTATAAAATGTCATTAAAAAAACAACAACATTATTATCTACCTAGATGTATTAGGATGTGCCTCTTCATAGTCTTTTGTTTAATTTGGAAGGATCACAACTGAGGGATAGTGATTTCAGTTGGCTGGTCAGTCTATCAGTCCAGATGGAAATATCTTAATAACTATTAAATGGATTGACATTACATTTTGCACAGATATGCACGGTTCCCACATGACGTATTCTAATACTAACCCCCTGACTTTTCCTCTGGCACCACCATGAGCTTGACATTTGAGGTTTTGAGTTAAATGTCTTGACAGCTACTGAATACAGCCATGACATTTGGTAGAGATGTTCATGTTCCCCTTAGGAAGAATTGAAATCACTTTTCATCTAATGCCAGGATTACCAGGAATCACCTGTCATACTAATAACTTCCCCATGAGCCTCAGCTATGTGTGTGCAAATGTAAGGATGCTAACACACTACACTAAGATCAAATACAGTATGCCAGTGCAAATATTTCAGTAATGTTAGATTTAACAGCTGATATGTGGAAGAGTCTGGTGTTCTTCTGCACTGTGAGCAGATGAACATGAAATCTGATAAAGACCAGGGACAGAATATTGGTCTGTGAGCCAATAACAGGTGATCGTTTGAGAATAAGCACAAATATGTTTTAAGGCACAATGTAGTGCCAGAGAAAGACCTGACGTTCTCTCCAAAACACAAACAAATGAGGCTGCCGGCATTCATTGAATGAATCTCTTCATAGTTGGATGAGACATAGAGATTGTCTCCATATATGACCATGTCAACAAAATGCTCTTTGAAAAAAACAAAACACAAATCATATAGATATGATTTTTATTTTTTTAAAGCAGTAGTACTGTAAATTCAAAAGAGTTAAAACGAGTTACATAGAAGGTTCATCTTCTTTTGTGAAACATTGTCTTTTTTCCCGATATGTTTTAGCCACAAGGAGAAAAACATAATCCTGAGCAATAGGTTAATACATGTCTGTTGAGAATATAGTATTTTCTCTGCATTTTATGAAAAAGGATAATAACAACTTTGTATGTCCCTGTAGCTTTGTGAGAGAAACTATGTCACACAAAAGGAACCCTCCTTGTAACTCATTTGAAATGGGTAATGCTTATATCCCTTTGTTTCGATGAAAGTAGAGGAGACCTAGCATTTCTTATATTCTTATATTATTTACTTTCGGTAACCCAAAAGGGTTAGTTTAGCATTTCCAAGCATGCCAGAACATCTATGTAAATATGTTTGCGCACTGGCTTGCATGCATTCTAGAGTGAACTGCAGCTATGTGTGTGTTTCAGTTAATAGGATCATTAAGCCGTAAAAAAGAAAACGTGCTTCATTCGTTTAAAAGAAATGTTTCTCACATGATGACAGGACTGTGAGCAGGGTACCAAGGTCTCATGACTCTCTGAAATTACTTAGCGTAATTCACCAGATGAGACTGAAGATGATAATTGAAGGTGACCTCAATTTAAGAACACTGTAGTTTGCAGGCCATTGATTCTTGTAAAGAGGGAACATATTTCAGTGTCTCTTCCAAAAGATTCAGAACATGTGCTCGTTTGAGAGAGAAAAGAGAGCATGTGTGAGATAGTAAGAGTGTTATTATTGTGACTTTTCTCTGACCTGTGCATTTCTATCTCCGGTATGGGATCTAAAAGGATTAGGTCATCTATCTGTGTGCTACTGTAGCTGTCTCTCTAACTCTCCTCTCTGTTTCATGTTACCTTTATCTCCTTCACCCTTTCCTTTATCTAGCACCATATCTATCTTTCTCCATTCACTCATCTCCTACCCCTCCCTATCCTCCTTTTGCTACCTGCTTAGCCACAACCCGTTTTATTGTGCTGCTTCTAAAGCGTAAATCTGATTTTTCTCTCTCTGATGTCATTCAAGATTTTGCAGATATCTAACAAAGCAATTACACATGGCAGACTTGTCGCCGAAATATAAGAGAGCAGTGGAGCCTGGCATGCCTGAAATATAGTCTCCAATGTATAGCCACTGAAGGTAATGGAGCAGAAAACTAATTCTGCCACAGTGTCACATTAACAATTATGACAATCTGATGTGTCTGCTATTATCATTATCTCGAGAGGACTATATGCATATGTGAGATATATGATAGGGATTTATCTCACGACAGTAAGTATTAACAATTGAGAAAGGGGGGAATGGGGCGATTTAAAAAATAGCAGGCAGGTTAAGGGAGGGAATAAAATAAAAAAAAAGGTAAAGAGGAAAGTGAGTAGAGGAGAATGAGATACGCCTTCAGAAAAATGAAGTTAATTAAGGTTAACAAGGACAATAGGAAATGTTGGGTTGTATGTCCGTCATTATGCAGACACACAGCAGAGATGAAAGACTGAAAGAGGCACAGAGCATTGAGGGAGAATTGGAACAAAAATATCAGGATAAGTGGTATTCTCAACAGAATGTAAAGTGAATACTATAATTAAGAGAGTATGCATATACTGGTAATGGTGTGATCAGTGAGACACACTCACTTTATATTTAAATATACAGCCGACACAATGTAATTAGTCTCCTCTAGGCCTGCTGTCAATAATTCAGAATCTTTATTGCAGGCACAAAATGACTCTCCTATATAAAAAACATGGGGTTGCAGCCATTATCTATATTTTGTATGGATGCGTCAGTGTCTTGAAAGCAGTTGAGTACAAGAAAAATGCATTTTACTTAATAAAGCATGGACGTAAATGGACATGGCGTGGGCAGAGTAAGAGAGAAAGAGAGAGAGAGAGAGCGAGAGAGAGAGATGGAGTGAGAGTGAAATAAATGATCTATAATGTATTCAAAAATAAATGCGAGACATATTTCTTGTAGGGAAGGTCATTGTCAGTGTCCCCAACTGTTAAGACAAAATATTACCACAGGGTAAAGGCTAAATAATAGAACGAACGATACTCCAAGGAAGGTTTGCAAATGCTAAGGAGATTAGTCTCTTAACATGTGACCGTGGGGAATGTTAATACTAACATTATAATGTTGCAACACTGAACATAACACTTCAATTAAGTTATGGCTGCTGATGGTCCCTTAATGTTGCTAACAGGGAATGCAAGAGGACTCACAAAGTATCAGGTAATCTAATATGTGTTTCTGTGAAACACCAAGCCAACAAATATGTTATGATATATTCATTATGTTGGCAGATGCGTACAGTAATGCTTTTATCGGGTCAGTTTACACAGTTTTCGTCGTGATTTGTGCTTTTTTTTGTCTTTTAAATGGTTGACACAGAAAGCTGCTTTGAGCATATCCTTCACTCAAAGGTCAATGTTAAACAAATATTTCCAATTCAAGTTGGATTTATACCTCAAGTCACTTATTTTTTTCTATTATCATAATGTAAACCTATTCGAGAGGGCATTTTAAGAGGAAGCACCACAACCATAATGGAGCTATCGTGTAATGAACCTGAGAATGAAGTATTATCACTCATGCCATCATCATATAAGGGAAGATGTTAACCTTGGGTGAGAGAAAGTTGCTTTTAATAATAATCAATTTACATTGAGGTCATTGTTCACATTTAAAGTGTCTCTGTCTCTCCATGCAGAATAGAAGAAATCATTTTAATAGACAGGCAGTTATTGTCAGAGACACATGTGAACATAACACGATGGAATGCTTGAACGACATGAGAACACCCCCGCTACCTTTGGGTTATAATTTCCTTTATCTTTTCCCTTTACATCATAACTTACAGCGGGTCACGCGGGGCTTTTCGCTGGCTTTTCTTCATGGTCGTGGGGGGGTCAGATTTCCACCTTCAATTGATCTGCTCTGTATTAACACCACTTTAGAGGGCTACATCACTCAACAAAGCACAATTCAGCTGCAAGAGGAATATTAGCCTCTACCAAGTCATTTTATTCCATGTATTAGTTTCATTCAATACCAATGACAGACCAATAAATGTTCAGAGTATTAAGGGACTGTGGCAGGAATAGTGTATAACACGTTCCTTAATTCCCTCAGAAGTAATTATGCTCTCTGATTAGGGAATTGTCCCTAAATGTAATTATATGCTGTGCTTTAAAGATTACATTTGTCTGTGATGGCATGCTGCATTATGTTGCTGTCTCACCACATTATTCATAATCACAGCTCACTATCTTAACTGTTATCTGCAAAGAGACCCCTCTGGTGTAGAGGACACACACTATACGGTGTGTTTTTGTGTGTATGTCTATCTCTGTGTCCAATGGAATCTTATGGGATTAAACATTGCAAGTCTGGGTCACATATTTTTACCCAACTGTTTTCACACCTATATGCATAATCCACTAACACTGATTAGTCAGTGATGTCAGTATGGACTCTCTGATCCTTATGCATCAGTGCATGTTAAGACAACAAAAGCTGTAATAGTATACTTTCTCAAAACATAAATTGACATATTTCAAGGAAGTATGCTTATCCAAGCATAAATTGCGTAGCATACAACAGGAGTATGTTGTGATCTGACATGCTGAACCAAACAATTCAATCATAAAACTTGAACAGAATCAGTAGTCATTGCAGTCGCTGAACACCAGTGTTGGGTGTAACGCGTTACAAAAGTAACGGAGTTACAGTAATATATTACTTTTTGCTGTAACTAAGTAATGTAACGCATTACTAATGAAATGTGGGTAATATATTACCCGTTACAATGCTCAGTAACGCAGTTACAACACATTTTAANGACATGCTGAACCAAACAATTCAATCATAAAACTTGAACAGAATCAGTAGTCATTGCAGTCGCTGAACACACACACACACACACACACACACACACACACACACACACACACACACACACACACACACACACACACACACACACACACACACACACACACACACGTTGAAACAAAGTGGGCCATGGAATTTAAAGATATAAGACACTTTAACTTTTGAAATACAAAAGATATAAAAGGCTGCACACAAAATCTAGTAAATAAAGAACGGTGGCAGAGCTGTACTCTGTTGCAAAGCAGTGACAGCCTTGGGAAAGGAATGCCTGAATGAATATTAGATGCAGGTGCAGTGAAATTCCCTGGCAAATCCCAAAAAGTATGTAAATCCACTCCCGAAATGAGTCCCCCCCCCACCCACAGTAATACACCAAACACAAGGGGTTTTTCTTTAACTACTTACCCGAGTTACTCCTCGTCCCCTGTCTTCTCCATAATTTGTTCCCAGGATTTCAAAGAAGATGTTGGGGTTGGAGCCATTGTCATCGAACTCCAGGAAACTGGTGAGGCCGCTCACTCCATTCTGCAAACACAAGATAAAAGGTGTTTTTTTGACTGTTGTTACTTGGCAAAATGATTATGGTATTGCAATCATCACTGTTGTTATTCTTGTTTGAGCTTTAATCTTGTCGGTATTATTTGACCTCATCAATAATTCTGGCTGAAAGGTTTGACATTAAATTAAGTTTTAAAGATCAGATGTATTAAGTGCTCTCAATAAAGCAGACACATGAATCATCTGTCTGACCCCTAGACTTATTATATCTGCTCATTACAGTAAGAACAGCTACTGAATACAACGTGTTTTTGTAGGAATAGTATACCGTATGTGTTCATGCATACGATCTATGTGACCAAGAGAGGAAACTTTAAAGAACTATGTTTTGCCGCTTGTGGAAAATCTTACTTTAAATGTATGGCAATTTTTTTTTTGCAATAAACTGCACGCATATGTGTGTGTAATAATGCTAATGAGAGAGCAACGAGTCTGAACTTTGCACTAGCGGCGTATAATGTACTCTTTTGAGATGTAAATTCACTCACACGCATATCCGAATACACACACACACACTGTACACACACACTGTACACACACACACTGTACACACACTGTACACACACTACACACACTGTACACACACTACACACTGTACACACACTACACACTGCACACACACTACACACACACACTGTGTACACTACACTACACACACACACACTGTGTACACTACACACACACACACCACACACTGTTCACACTGTACACACTGTACTGTACACACACTGTACACACACTGTACACTACATACATACAGTACACTACACACACACACACACACACACACACACACACACACACACACACACACACACACACACACTCAAA